GCCAATTGTCCCCTGACATTAGTTCTCCTCCTTTAATATGGTCAAAGAAAATGAAATAGGGACATGACCACCCGGCTAGAACCTGAATGCCCCTGCCTGCCTTATAGCTACTTCTGGACAATGAGCTACTTGTGACATATGTGAGTTCCAGGTTCTCACAACACAAATATGGCTAACAGGAAGGAGAAAAGGAGAAGTTAGCTCTACCAGCTAAACCTGAGGTTTCCCTATGACTGACACAGATGGCCCCTCCAACGCTCTCCTGGACTCTTTCAAAGTGAACCCCAAATTATACATGTTCAGATTCCGAGCATATGAAAATGAGAGCCCTGCATGGGTACGTACAGACACCCGCACACAGTAATTTCTTCCACAGAGATAAGCATGTTAATCAGAGTCCATAACCATGAAAGGATAGGTGGATGATATTGAGCTTATTTGGAAGGAAGGGATTAGGGACTATTAGAAAAGTGAAGTGTATTACATATGACTGAACAGCTTGCTGATACAATGTAACTCAACTCACATGACTACCAAATTCTTATGTTTATTTCTTGGTAACTGTGGATGATCGTAGACAATGATATGGAATTTATAGACAATTTTTCTCAACTCCAAATGAGAGATGGTCTCCCAATACTACTTTAAGGGAATTACAAGCTAATTAAATTTGGGGCTAAAATAAAAAAAACAAAACATTATTAGCTAAATGTATACAACAACACTTAATGATGCATCAAGTAAATCATGGGAAGTCCTCAAGATATAAAGGTTAAACTTAATGTGCTCTAAGTGTTTTACAGAATTAATTCACTTCATACTCACAACAATCCTATAAGATCAGTGTCAATATTGTCCTCATCATTTAGATAGGGAAACAGAACCAGAAAGTTTATAGTTACAGGACCAGGAAATGGCAAAGATGGGACAGTAGTCTAGATGGTCTGGCTCTAAAGTCCCTGATCCTAACCCTTCTGCCAGTGCTTTTCCAAGATTGCAAAAGATTGACCTAATTTTTGGGCCTGACTATGAATGCCTGTGAAGATTTTGCCTTCAATAATTTTTTAAAATTTACTTTTGAGAGAGAGTGTGTGAATGGGCAGACGGGGTGTGGGGGCAGAGAGAGAGAAGGACAGAGGATCCCAAGTAGACTCTGCACTCACAGCAGCAAGGCCTATGCAGGGCTCTAACTCATGAATTTCCACATCATGACCTCAACTGAAGTTGGATGCTCAACCGACTGAGCCACCCAAGAGCCCCAACAATTCTGAACTCTTAAGAGGAAACTCACAAATAAGGAAAATTAAATAGAAAAGCCCCAGTGAAGCAAGATAACCAGCATTTGACTTCAGTACTACAATAGAGAAAATTTTGATAGTGGGACAAATGAAGGAGCTATTAATTAAAGAGCTTATCGGTGTTAGAAAAGTCTATTCAAGGCTCTTATCGGCACAGGAAATAATCTTTTTGTGCCTTAATCCATGAAGTCCTTTAGCTGCAGAATATATTCCTAGACATTTACCTAAAAAGTAATCATATTTTGTGACAGACATTTTGGTAATAACAATACATAGGCATTTGCAGAAGACAGAATTCTATCTCTAGTATACCATGTACACGTTTCAATAGGAACAGATTGCTACAGCCATAGAAATAAATCTGAAAAAGACACTGTGTTACAAAACAGAAACTTAAAAAAATGATAGAAAGGCGCAGAGCACCTTCTGCCTGTTTCTGTCCGGACTCAAGGATATGGCCGGCTTGTGGTGGGGCAGCCTGATCTGAATGGGATGCGGGGATGGGGCAGCACGATTTGTGTGGGATGCAGGGTGCAGGTCCGTGGGCCATTCTGAACTATCACGATGAAGGAGAAAGAGGACTCAGACAAGAGCCAAATGGAGACTTGGCCCTAACTACTCTGTTCTCGATGGAACTGTACGTGTCTACTGGTACTAGACTAGATTAGGGCTTTTTTTTTTCCTTTCTTTTTTTTTTAAATCACAATAAGCAGCAAAGATTTACTAGTGTCTTCATGTCAGATCATATACAGTGCCAAGCAATATCCAGATATTACCTGGATACTCCTAGATACAACCAGTACTCCTGCCTGCTTGAAGACAGAATCCTCGGTCCAAAGCCTCATAGCTGGGCCTGCACTGTGGAGCACGTGTCTCCACTGCAGCCTAGTTCTTTTTGGTATAATCTGCCCATTTGTGCACGGAGGGAAGGTGCTGACACGTTTATTACTTTCATAAGGACAGAAGTCATACCCAGAGACCAAGAGGCAGAGTTCCCTCTAATTTGTTTTTGAGAAACACAAAAAGCAAGCAAGTGTAATTTTATTATAAGGAAAAATGTTAAACAAGAAGTTTGTAGAGAAGGTAACATTTTTCCAATCTTATTATAGACACAGATTCATCCCTGGGAAGAGGCACACAAATCTCACATTGCTTTTAAGTGGATGGAAAGAAATCTATACAAATTATTTTTAAGAAACTGTGCCAGTGTAAAGAATTCAGTAATTAAGTAAATCACAGGAAATCCCCAAGATGTATAGGTTAAAACGAATGTGGTTTTAAGGAACAGAGCCTTCAGCTCTGTCTGGAAGAACAAATTTCATCATGTATCTCAATCTGTATCTTAAATGTAATGCGAATCATGCTGCAATCTATCAGCTCTTTTATAATATACCTGGTTGGTACTTTGTCTGAGGCTTTCTTTTTTTAAAAAATTTTAAATGTTTTTATTTATTTTTGAGAGAGAGAGACAGAGTGAGTGGGGGAGAAGCCGGGGGGGGGGGGCGGGAGAGACACAGAATCTGAAGTAGGCTCCAGGCTCTGAGGTGTCAGCACAGAGGCTGATGCGGAGCTCGAACTCACGAACTGTGAGATCATGAGCTGAGCTGATGTCAGATGCTTAACCGACTGAGCCCCCCAGGCAGACTTGTATGAGACTTTCTATTTCATTTCCCAAATAAGATGATCCATTCTAGTTGGGACTAAACATATTGTGCAATATATTTCATTTTTTCATTTTGTTTAACTTTAAAAGCTCAACTATTTTAAATGATAATGTTACCCTTTATTTGCCATTTAGCTGAATTTTTGGGAGGTTTGCTTGGTGAAAGTAATATTGGCAAAAACACCGTTAACTTTTACCAGCTTTTATTATGTGTACTTTTTATGCTAGTCACTTCATCCATATGAATGCATTTATAGTCTTCACAATAGACCCATAATTTAGGGAAAATTATTATCCCTATCTTACAAATGAGGAAATGAAGAATAAGAGAGAAGAAGAAAGTTAACCAAGGTCACACAGTAATGGGCTGAGCCAGTAAACAAACCCAGGCCTAACACTCATGTGTGGTTTTGTAAGCATATTGGGAAAGGAATAGAAGTTGTACTCTACTCCCAGGGTGAAATAGCATTGAAAATTCTTTTACTCCATTTCACAAAGGATAGTTTATGTGTTCTTCAAATTGGTATGAATTCTGTTTTTTTAAATGTTTATTTATTTTTGAGACAAAGAGAGAGAGAGAGAGAGAGAGACAGAGCATGAGTGGGGGAAGGGCAGAGAGAGAGGGAGACAGAATCCAAAGCAGGCTCCAGGCCCTGAGCTGCCAGCACAGACCCTGATGCGGGGCTCGAACACGTGAACTGTGAGATCATGAGCTGAGCCAAAGTCAGGCGCTTAACTGACTGAGCCACCCAGGTGTCCCAGAATTCTGCTTAATAGTTGATCCAGTTATAACTGGGATTTTAGGCGTCTGATGGAAAGCGAAAAATCCAGCTAGCCACTTAAGCACCCCATCAACATAATACCAAATATTTGCACACATGAAAATGTTTAGGTGACTGGAAATCTTTATTTTGCACCTGGTTGTGAGCCATCCTAGCATCATGAAGACAAATTCCAAACCACACTGTTCTAGAATTTAAGATCCCATTCTACAGGATTTCAGTGACCATCTTTTCTGACTTAAAACCATGGCATACAAACTAATAGGAGTATGTGTAGTTGCGGGGAAAACAAGGCAGGGTATTTGCAATCAGACCTGAGAACATCAGAAATGCCTGCTAGCTACTTATAGCCTTTCCAATATATGGGCCCCTATATCAACGTAAGGGAGCAAAGGAACTCACCAGAGGAAGAAATTGCTTTTTTGCCTGTAAAAAATCTTGGCAGAAGAACATCATCTATGTAGAACCCAAGCTGTTTTCTACGTACATCATATGACACGCAAGTAGGAACCATTCTCTTTCAGCCTAATGGAAGCAATGATGGAATGCTCCGATGCTAGATTTCTGAGCATTTTCTCTTTCAGGATTCTCCCGGTACACACCCCACTGAAGCAAAGAGCACAACTTTATTTGGTGACATTATTCGAGAGTAACCAGAGAGTCAGGTATAACCCTAATTATCCAACACCTATCCGACTGAACACTATAGCACTCTGCTTGCTTCAGTTTGGAAAAGAACAGCCATTTAGTCACCATCAGGATGGCATCCAGAGCATTTTTGCTGAGAGTAGTGATACATTTGTACTTTATTTATAACATCCGCCCAGTTCTCTTTCCTTACTTTCAGAACATTTTTTTTTTTAAGTTTTATTTTGAGAGAGAGAGAAAAAATAGTGTGAGCTGGGGAGAGGCAGAGAAAGACGGGGAGAGGGAGAATCCTCTGTCAGTACAGATCCCAACATAGAACTTAATGTCATGAACTGTGAGATCATGACCAGAGCTGAAATTAAGAGTCGGACACTCAACCAACGGAACCACCCGAGTGCCCCCCAACAGAACATGTTTTTTAAGAAAATCAGCCAAGCCATGACTTGAAAACCATGTTCTTATTTGGTTTATGTTCTAGAATGTGCTCACTGAGCAAACCTCACTATGTGGTTTCATCTTCCATTACCCACTTGACATAAATAAGCAAAATTATTCCCTCCAACACCCCCTGGGAAATAAAACAGGACATTATCTAAGTAAGTGCCTTACCGTTGATATTCCTGATGCCCAGATGTGGGATTAGGAAGAGCACCCAGAACAGTTTCTCAGTTCTAACCATGCCAGGCGATCTCTTCATTTCCTGTGCATATCAGGGATGGGAAACCACCAGTAGACTTCTTTTCCTTCCTTGAATTCCTCAGGGTTGGACCAGGTTACTTACCTCAGTGACATCTGTGAAATATAGAAGAGCAAGGAGACAGCAGAAGATAGTAGGAAGAGCCTGAATAAGTTTGTTAAAGTGAGCAGAAAGATTACGTGGTACTCTCTTCTGTGGTTTTTGCTTCTTGTCAAATCGGCTTCTCACTTTCAAACACTATGATCTGCAAAGCAGCACAGTCCTTAACTTCTCCTTCCGCTTACCACCCTTTTTGCCCCACATTGAGGTTTTTCTCATGTTCAGTGACATGAAAAATCAAACTTTAAAGAAATCTATACTCTTGCAATCTTTAGGTTGAGATTTCAGTCAAATTAAGTTCAGGGAATTCATGGTAAAAAGTACCTATGGTAAGTATGCCTTTCTCGTTTCGTAGCTTTAGATTATGAAACTTCTTTTATCTAAAAGGTTTTAGGTTTTTCTTCCCAAACATCATGTCATGGCAAGATGAGAATGCTTATTGTCATTACACCAGTGATTTATCTGAGGTTATGGAGAATATGAGTGACAGGAAGCACTTCCTCAACAGATGAGGGAAGGGCAAGTGTCTTTAATCTGTAGTTAAATATCAATGGAACAAGACCATCGTTAATATAAGCTACATGTTCTCTCTAAATAATAAAGTTCTGAGCTAAATGACATCTTGAATATCAATTAAAGGAAACTTCCATTTTCAACATTCTTCATGTGGTTATTGTCTGGATGAAATAGAATAGAAATAATAAAAGGAAGAAATGGAAAAGTTGAAGATCAGATAGCTCAGGGTCGAGGTAGGACTGCTTTCTTCAAGTTAGCTCTGCTTCTAATTATAGAAGCTCATTAAATTCACCCATTTGAGATTCCAAATGAGAAATTGAGACTTGTGACATCTCTGGTCAGCGACAGACGTTGATTTTGTACGTCTTTCTCCTAGAGGCCGGTGATTTTCTAACAAGGGCAAATTTCAATGGTTTTAAGTACACAAGTTAAAAAAATAGTTATCATTGTATATTGTATATTGAATTAAACAGACATTGTGTGGTGGTTGGCGGCACCAAGATTGTTCCTGACTTTAAAGAGCTCAGTGAATGAGTGCTGTAATCTCCTCATATCTGTCTTCAGTGTTGGAACTGTAATATTCATGCATTTCAACCACCACAGTTTAACATAAAGCAATTGTACCTATCGTCCTACAGCATCAATTACTTACCGAGTAAACATCCTGTGAAATATTTATGCAGCATTTATAAACTTTCTTTCTGGTGCTCGAGGTGGAATGCAAACTTCCTGTGACAGCTGAGGCAAGGCTCCTTAGGTCTTCAAAATGGTCTCCGAAGTCAAAAGCCATAAACCATAAGCCAAGGATCTCAGGATATTGTCCCAAACCAGAGAGAAGTCATATACACTTTGTTAATCTCAGCATAAAACTTTTATGATCCACTCTTTTAAAGGTGTTTTCCTATATAAAAAAGCCCATATTAATTACATAAAATTTGGAAAAGACCTTATGTAACATCTACCGTATTTTGTAAGGTATCTATTTTGTTACTTCTATCAGCATGACTTGCCCTTTATCCCTCCACTGCTGCAGTCCTGGGAGACCCACTAGAGACAGAATCTCACTCCTGTCTTTGTTCTAGTAAGAAGAATGGAAAGAAGCCTGATTCCAAAGTTTGTTAGCTCATCTACAAGTCCATTTTCCTTTAAATCTCTACCTCAGCTAGTAATTACATTACATTTTTAGCCAGTGACTAAAGAAAACAGAAATACCAAGGCAGGCCCATTTCTGGGACACAGAACTACTACATGATAGACTTTGGCTTAAGGCCTCCCTTATAGCCTTGCCAAACTCCCTAGAGTTTCAGATTCGTCTAGGATAATTCCTCCTAACCCACTTCCCACCCCCCATCATTATGGATCAGGATTGCTTTGTGGTCTTTCTCCCATCTCCCCTTTCTCTGATCCCTCCACTTTTCCTCACAAGCATTTCTCCTAATATAATCCTTGCACAGTTTGGAGCCTGCCTTTGGAGAACCCAGTCTAACATGTTAATTTTGCATAGTTATGACAACATAGAACATACAATTTCATATTTTGCTGCCCCTTTCTTCTTGTTCAGTGAGTAGTAATCTTTATATGGGGGAATCTTTTTTTAGAAGGTAGGAAGGCATGACAGCTAGTTAGCAAAAATAGCAGGATTAAATTAGTCAATTGGGGAGAAACCATAAAGATCCGCCAAATCATGGAGACAACAGTGAAAACACAGGCATAGAAAAAAGACAGAAACATGCAAAAGTTACATTACTTTAACTATAACCGTAGCTCAGAGCATTGTGAGAATTTGACCAAAAAAAAGTGAAAGGTTTTTTTCACAGCTTGACTGCTCATGCTCACTCACATTTGTCTTCACAGCAGAGTCCTCTTCTTATTTATATGGCTTTATGAGGGGGGAAAATGCAGATGAAGTAAACAGTAGTTTGAAACAAAACACAATGGAGTTAGCTTGGTTTGGAGTAAGGTTAAAGAAATAATTTGGAAGAAGTCAGTCCTGAAATGAAATATATACACATTTAAGAACCAACATGGTACCAGTCAGATTGCATGCTGGCCATAGCTAGAAAAGCTTTCTGAAGGCTCCAACTGTGCCAGTCAGCTTACTTTCTCAATAGTTAGGAGATCCAAAATGAGAGGCCCCAAAGAAGGGTCCTCAGAAGTCAGGTAAGCAGGGACTATTTGAGGGCTCAGGTTAACAAATAGTTGCCATTCCCAACTGGTCTGGAAGTGCAGTATTCATATTTTAACATCTGGTAGAGCCCTGCTAATGGCAACTGACTATCTTTCAGTTGTTTATCCCTTTAATATTGATTAGTCAGTGTTAATAAACCCAAATTATACAGTTGACCCTTGAACAACATGGGGGTTAGGGACGCTGACCCCACACACAGTCAAAATCTGAAAATAAAACTTTTGATGCTCCCAAAACTTAAGTATTAATAGTGAGAGCCAGGAGAGATCACTTTTTACTGTGATCTACAATTTGCCAGAGAAAGGAACTGCTCACATAGAGATGATTAATCTCACAGGGCATTTTAAGAGGATACTGGCAACACTCAAGGTCACTGTACAGCAGCAGGAGGTGGCTATGAAATGATTACAGCACTACAGTGTGTACTATGGTACATTTTATGCAATTACAATTTAATACTATGTCTATGTTTGTTTACGTTTCTCTCAACTGCGCATGCCGCCATATATAGTCCATTAAGTGTTTGTGTGTGTGTGAGATCTGTTAACTTTTAACTTTCTACATTTTCTGTATATTTTATGTATATTAGCGTATATTTTATGGTAGTAAATAATAAACTAGGCTAGTATCTATACATTTATGACATACTTTTTTCCTAATTTTTTCTATAGTTCTAAACTATGGGGTTCATCTGAGAGGTTTTTCAAATTGTTGCAAATCTCCAAAACATTTTCCAAAATATAAAATGTTGAAAAATAAAACTACCCATGTGTAAGTGAATCTGCTCAACTCAAACCCATGCTGTTCAAGGGTCAACTGTGTTTCTCAATTGTCCAACATAACGGTTTGAAAGGAAACTCAGAAAGCCCAAGGAAGCATGTTGTCCCAGACCTTGAGCAAATTTTTGGCAGTCTGCTCAGCTGCCTGGCACGACTGCTCTTCCTGGCCTTGTCACAGGCATTTCTCCAGCTGATTTAGAAAAAATACACTCTGGTAATACATATTTAACATTAAAAAATTTTTTTAATATTTTTTTAAAATTTATTTTTGAGAGAGAAAGAGACAGAGTACGAGTGGGGGAAGGGCAGAGAGAGACACACACACACAGAATCTGAAGCAGCTCCAGGCTCTGAGCTGTCAGCACAGAGCCCAATGTGGGGCTTGAAATCATGAACTAGGAGATCATGACCTGAGCCGAAGTTGGATGCTTAACTGACTGAACCACCCAGGCGTCCCAAGTAACATATATTTAAATAGCTGAATAATATGAAATCTTATAATTATAGGACTATTTAGCCATTTTACTATTATAGGACATTAAGGTTTTTCCAATTTTTCACATAAAGACGAACACTTTGGCTCTACTGCATCTTGGACGATTTCCCAAAGTGGAATTAGTGGACTGAAGATACAAACATTTCTAGGAGTCTTTATATCTAGTACTATATAACTTCACAGATCAGAGTACATTCCTAGAGACAAGTTATGAGGCCGTCCAGATCTGGTTAACTATACCCTTACCATTAGAAATATCTTATTATGATCATCATAATTTTAAAAGTACAACATTCAATTTGTTCTGGGTTTTTAAGCTTCATGAGGATGAACAGATTGTGGGGTGTTTTACATTTGTGAGTTGTTATTCATGTGCAATTAAATGCTTTCAAGATATTGGAATCAGTGGCTTTCTTACTATTTTTTAAATTTAATAGTGTATGTATTGACTATATCAAACACTTGCCACCTTGCCTGCTATATTTGCAGCAAATAGTTCTTGCTTTTTAACATTTTAATAGTAGCTTTTCATTTATAGAAGTTGTCTTTTTAAAAGTAGCCAATTCTAATACTTTCTGTTGCTTTTAAATTAGAAAAAAAACACTTCCTAGATGATTTCTAAATCAAGATGTCTAGGTGAATGTGGTAGGCTAAATAACCACCTCCCAAATGTCTCCACATCTGAAAACCTGGAACCCTGGACCCACTGCTACCTTACATGGTAGAAGTTACTTGGCAGATTTGATTAAGGATCTTGAGACAGAGAGAGTATCCTGATTTATCGCCGTGAGCTTGATGTAACCATAATCATCCTTACAAAAGAGATATAGGAGTCCAAGATGGAGGAGAAGGCCATGTGACAACAAAAGCAGAGGTTGAGATGATGTGGTCACAAGAAAAGAAATGTCAACAACCTCTAGAAACTGGAAGAGACAAGAAAGGGGTTCTGCCCCAGGAGCCACGAGGATTCAGCTCTGCTGACATCTTGCTTTTAACCTTGTTAAGACTCACTTTGGACTTCTGATCTCAGGAACTATAAAAGAATAGATCTGTGTTGTATTAAGCCACTGAGTTTGTGGTTATCTGTTACACTGGCAAGAGAAAAGTAATGAGTGATGTTATTTTGCTCTCCATCACACAAATTCCTAGGAAGTATCAAAGTGTTTAATGTCCCATAAATATTCTATACTAATACAAGAGGAAAGTGGCATCACTATAGAACTTCATGGAATTTCTTTTAGAAAGAGTGTGATACAGCTCAACCATAAGAAGCTCTGTGTTCAGGCCCAATTATCGTCTATGAATCTCAGTGTACCCAGTAAGTATGGAGGACACCAGGCAGTACATCCCTAATCTTCCCTTGGTAGAGCAATGACAGGTCAAGGGACTATTTCAGCATTACATCATTTGAATTCTGTATCAGTTTGAATTAAGTTCAGCTGTATATAGTAAGAAAATCCAAAATCGTGTTAGCTTAAATAAAATACAAGATTGTTTTGGGGTGCCCAGGTGGCTCAGTCAGTTAAACGTCTGACTCTTGATTTCGGCTCAGGTCATGATCTCGTGGGTTTGTGGGATCAAGCCCTGTGTCAGGCTCCATGCTGACAGCACAAACTTGCTTGGGATTATCTTCCCCTCTCTCTGCCCCTTCCTTGCTCACTCTCTCTCCCTCAAAATAAATAAATAAACTTTAAAAAATACAGGATTGCTCCATTCACATGCAAAAGAGATTTAGAGGTAGGCAGGAATAGGGCTGCTAACATCTTGGATCCTCATTCATCCGTAACCACATCTCCTTTTTTTTGCTTCACTTCTTAACTCTGACATCTGTCCTCTGAGTCCATGGTCCATGATGGATGTTCTCAGCTCCAGTCAT